CCAAGCTATTCATAGTTTATTTTTCTAGTTGTAATTTAGAATCTGCTTTCCAAGTTCCACAAATTCCTAGTGAGAGGCTGGTCCGACCACGTATCGAATCCGTATATTAATTCAGGACAAGCTGAGAGCACGACAGTGTTCGGCCGCCCCGTCGTTGAGCCCGGGAGTATCAGCGCCGTTGCCATGGTGATTGTGCGGCACAAGCTGCCCCAAAGCCAGGCAGCTTTCTGCGGCATTTCTGTCTCCCTGACGTGGGTCGTCCGTGGCCTTGCTGGGCTCGCGCTGCGTGGGTGACCCCGGCGCGGCTGCAGGGCAGGTCACGGCGGTTTCCTGGGTCTCCCAGGCGTCTCTGGACCAGCGGACAGGCCTAGGCTGGTTCCATCCACGGCTGACAGGGGAGAAAGGGGCAGAGAGGTGGAAACTCCCGGCTCTGGAGGCCTCGGCGCCGCCGCACGCCTGCAACCCCCCACTACCAGCCGCTGCGCCACGCCACGCCAGCCGGAGTGGGCCGGTGTGGGGCTGCGCGCCCTCGTTAGAGGGCGGTGGCTAGTTCCGCTGCGGGGAGTCCAGGCTTGCAGCTGCCATCCCCCTCCCGCAAGGGTGGCCGAGCAGCCTCACTCCAGCTTTGCGTTCCTGTCCCCTATATTTTCTGGGGCGCTGGGGCGCAGTCACCGGGCTGGCTCCCGCCTTCAGGGGCATGGTGGCCGGGCGGCCCCTCTCCCTGCCATCCCAGCCGCCCCTGCCGCGAGCCACCCCGGAAGCCCCGTCGCCTCCACGGGAGCGCGCAGCCAGGAGATCCGGCCCCCGCATCCGCTCGGGGCGCTCTTTTTAGGAACACAGTGACCCGACGAGAGTGGAACTCAACTCCGGCCAACGTCCTGTCCTGGGGTCAGGTCACTTGGGTGCCAGGGAGGCCCTGCCGGGGATTGGCTGCGTGTCCCCCATGACCTCCGCGCCGCCGGCTCTCCCGTGCGTGAAACGAGGGAACCAGACCTGGTGACCCCAGAGCCCCTTCTCAAACCTGTGACATTGTGTGACTCTAAATGTTCTGGCCCATCTGAAGGCCAGTTCCAGGGCGGGAAGAGAGCGGCCTGCTGGGGGCGGAGGGTAGGGGGAGGCCAGTGTCAGCTGATAAATTCAGGGAGACGCACACATGTGCGCATGCGCAAGCTTTGGAGAGGCGGGAGGCCCGGAGGCCCGGATGCTCACTGCGTCGGAGTCCCGATGGCAGTACCGTATTTTGCTGTGTATACTGTGCACTTGTTTGCCCAAATTTTTTAGGGAAAAACAAGGATGCACATTATACATGGGTAGTGCTAATTCTGTATCTATATAAATGTTTTTTTATCTGTGCTTATGCATTAAAAGTATAACTCTAGAAAACAGTGATAACCATATGCAAAACAATACCTTGGAATACAATAATCGGTTTTGTTTCAAAATATGAGTAAAAAAATTGGATTAAAAATTAAAACGGAAGGTTTTTTTTTCCTGGAAGTTTGAGCCAAAAACACGGGCGCGCAGGCGCAGAGGAGCGCGTTATGCACACGGCCAGAGCGGAGGGCGCCGGAAGGACCTGCGGGGCCAGAACTGTCAGCGCAGGAGCCGGTGGCTGGAAGACGCCGATCTCTGCTCAACCCTAGGCGGCAGGTGCTCCTGCCTGGCTTCCCGGGGCGCGACATGGGCTCCATTCGCGCAACATAGAGGGGCGGGGCTTGGCAGGGACCCCTGCAGCCCACAGGCCTGGGCTGGGCGTGCTGTCTCTTCCATCGCTGGGGACAGCCTGTGAGGTGGGGGCAGCTATTCTCCCCTGGCTGAGGGCTGAGCTGGGACCTGGAGAAGTCGGTGACTTTCACAGAGCCGCTCAGGTGAGAACGGAATTCAGATTCCGGCCTGGCTGACTTCCAGCCACACCCCGTGGCCACGGGGAGTGGGGGAGGGGGGGGGAGGGGGGGTCTCCCAGGACAGAGCCTTCGGGTGGCCTCAAGGACACTCAGCTTCTTCCTGAGCACATCACTCACCTCTGAAGGCAGCCCTGCAGCGTGAGCACTTGCTTCTCCTTAAAATCCCCGCATGGCACGTCCAGCACAGCTGACCCCAGGCATGGTCTACGTGAAATAATAAGGAAAAGACTTTTAAATGTCCATGGTAAGTATGGTAAAGTATCTATACGCAATAATATAAATAATGAGTGAAGAGGCAGGACATTTTTAGAAGAGCTATCAGAAGTCTAAAAGCAATTGAAAAACTCACTTGATTCTGTAATGGAAAAGGTCATTAAACTTGAAGAGTAGTATTAGAGTTGGAATAAACTAAAGCATGCGGGGAAAGAAATGAAAAATAAAATGACATGTATTCACCCGCGGAACAACACGGCAATCTGACATGTGGGACCGGGAATAGGGGAGCAAAAACCAGTTAAATAGACTATTATCTGAAATTTTCTAACTGTGGTTAAAACATCACATTTTCATTACCAATCAAAAAAAATCAGTAAAACAAGCAACATAAATACAAAAGAAGAGCACAAATAGGCAGGTCACAGTCAAACGGCTCAACACCACAGCTGAAGAGGACGTCTTCCAGGCGCCCAGAGGGCGGGAGAGGGAGAGGCAAAGATACCAAACAACCACCAAAAATCCACCCCTGATTTCCGGCCAGAAGCCCTGAGTCCAGGAGACAGCGGGATGCCACTGAAATGTCAGCCAGGAACCCTATAAGCAGCAAATGCTTTCACAGTTGAGTGTTCAATAAAGATACTTTCCAGTAAATGAAAACGGACAATTCGTCGCCAGGGCTGTGGCACGGGGACAAAGGATGAGGTCCCCAGACAGAGGGCAGAGGGAGCGGCAGTGGCACTGGTAAGGACGTGGGTCCAGACGATGACTTTTTCTTTAAATTCTTGGAAAGTCAGTTGGCAAATAAATAAACCAACAACACGACAGAATTAGCACATCACCCTTTGAGACTCTGACGGAATGAGCAGATCCAGGCATTAAAAATCTGTGGCTGTTGGCGTGGCAGAAAGAGGCGAAGCGGGAAGCTGCGTGCCCCTCCTGTCCGGCCAGGCCCTGAGCAGCGTCTTCAGGAGGGATGAAGCCCCAGGCTGACCGGTGTCCAGAGCCGGCAGCCCACACCCGGGCGCAGGGCGGACGGGCAAGGCGCGGACAATGCTATCAGCAAAACCCAGGCCTCCCCCAGACAATGGGAGGGAGGGAGCGGGTGGGCACTCTTGTGGGATAGAAGATGCTGAAAGGATGTGTCTAATTTTAAAAAATTGGGCAAGACTGAGCGGTAAAGTCCAGGATTCATCTTTGAATGATAAAACTGTTTTCAAGATGTAATTACTATGAAGAGCAGGCTGGTAGTTACGCGCAGGGGTGCAGGGGGGCGGTGGGCAAGAGTCCATGGCATCAGCAGCGTTTGTGGGCAGGGCGGGTGACGGAGCTCCTTCTCCTGCTTGACCTGGCAGTGGTCGCCAGGGTGTGCGCCCAGGCAAAGACGGGAGGCCACGCGGGGGTTGGATGTGATGTTCTGCATCTGTGTTTTATTTTATATAAAAAAAAATTGTAAAACGTAAAGCGACTCTTTAGAGAAAAAACACTAACGATTTGGTGTGGGGCTTAAGACATACACACGTCAGATGACCGTGCGCAGCTGCAGGCAGAGAGCGCCGACCGCCCACGGCTGTGGCGACATGGGCCCCAGAACAGAGAAGGGCTCTGAGGCTCACGCCACACAGGGACGGTGCGGCAGGTGCCTTGTCCCAACAGCCAGACTGTGAGACCCCCGGCTCACGGGCCCTCACAGGCATCCGCGAAGTCCGGCCTTGGGAGCGGGGGTCCGTCACCCCCAGAATAAAGGAGGCTCGGATCCAGCCTCACAAAACCCGGGAGACAGGTAGGATGGAACCTTTTCCCAGCAGCTCAACGGCTCCCAGAGCAAGGCTCAGAAGTGCTTGCAGAAACACGAAACAGCCCAGCACACAACAAGATGAAATTCACAGTATTTGCTATCCGATCGAAACACAGCGGCCCTGCGGAGAGGCAGGAGAGCGTGACGCCAGCCAACGAGGAAAGCGTCCGATAGACAGTGACTTCGAATGACGCAGAATGTAGACCCAACGAGCCCGGACATTAAAGTGGCGCTCACGACCACGTCCCCTATGTTCCAAAAGATAACAGAGAAAGTGAACACGGGTAGTGCCACAGGAGGTATGAAAGGGCCCAACCTGAACCTCTAGAGAGGTAAACTCTCTGTGAAATGAGACAGAAGAAAGCCGCAGGCAACACAGATAGCAATAATAAAAGGACAGGACAATTAGAAAACGTCAGAAAGCAGCATTAAGTCAAATAGGGTCGAATAACTTTAAATTTAAGTGTTCTCAATACCCCGATGAGAAGGTAGAGATTTTCAGGTTGGGTAAAGGAATAAAGACCCAACTCTGTGCTACCCACCAAAAAAGCCTATTCTAAATATAAAAACACAAAAAGGATAAAAGTAAAATTATGAAAATGATATACCATGCGATACTCATTAAAAAAAAAAAAGATGAACTAGCTAAATAGTATCAAAGTAGCTTACAGTGCAAACAATGTGACTGGGGAGTTTAAAAAAAAAGTTTATTTCAAAAGATAGAGGTCAACCGCTCAAGGGGACACTTCATGAGAGAGATCAGGATGCTTGAAGCACAAACTGACAGGAACACAAGGAGAGGAGACAACTCCCCACCCCCTCGCGAAGAAGGTGTCAACGCCTGCCTCTCCGTCGTAATTGATGAGACAAGCGCCGCAAATCCTAAGGACCTCGAGGACTCGAACGTTATTCACCAGCTTGGTCCGCCTGACATCATAAAGCCCAGCTTTTCAAGCGCACATGGAACATTGATTAAGACGGATCGTATTCCAGGCCATTAAAACAAGATGTCAAGGCATTAAAAAGGATTCAGGTTGTATAAAGTACATTCTGTGACCGCAATGAACTTAAGCCAGGAATCAATAGTGTCAATGATGAGAACTCATATTGTCTTGAAGAGAGATGATGACAAAAAAGAAAGAAATCAATAGTAAAAAGATTCCTGTAAAGTCCCCAAATAGTTGGAAACTAAATAACACTCTTGCAAATACCCGTGCATCAAGGAAGAGACCCAAAGGGAGAGCAGAAAGTATTTCGAATGGAACGAAAATTAAAACAGAGCGAGCTGGAATTTATAAAATGTCACTAAAACAGTAGGCAGGGGGATTTATAGCGCTAAAGACCGAGATGAAAGGAGAAGAAAGGCTTCAGATCGAAGTTCTCTGCTTTCAGCTCATGGAGCTGGTAAAAAAGGAGCAGATTAAACAGAAATCAAGTGGAAGTGAGGAAAGGTTCGGACGAAGGAGGAAACCAACAGCACGGAGAACGGGGAGAGGCTAGAGAAGACCCCTGAAGCCCAGCGTTGACTGTTTTTCAGAGGATCATTCAAATTAGTAAAGCGCTTACGCAGGCTGATCAGGGTAAAACAGAGAAGATGTGGGTTATAAATATCAACAATGAGAAGGAAGTTACCACTGCAGATTATGTGACTCTTAAAAGGATAATGAGGAAATATTATGAACTTTATTCCAATAAACTTGACAACTTAGATAAAATTCACAAATGCTTTAAATACATAAATGACCAAAATTCCCTGAAGAGAAAATAACTAAGTGGCCTAACCCTTTATCTATTTAAAGAAAATTAATTTGTGGCTGAAAGCTCGTCCACAAAGAGAACTCAGAGCTTTTGATGAAGCACAGCCAGGAGGGCGGGGGGGGGGCAGGTCTCAGTAAATGGCGTTGGGCCCACCAAGTAGTAAATGGGGAAAAATAAGGGTTGACCCTCACCCACAGCACGGAATCTGCCTTTTCTGAATCGTTGACACTATTCCAGATGGCCCCCATTCCCCCCGACATCACAACACCTGTTCCAAAAAGACTGTTTTCCATGGTATTCTATAAGAATTAAGAATTTACATTCATCAAAAGACTCACATCCCCAATATATTTATCCCAGAATATATTTAAAGGAGACCTTGTATAAATCAATAAGAAAAACTCTAATAACCCCACTGTTAAAAAATAGCAACTAGATTGCCCAGCAGCTTCCCAAGGGTAACGCGGAATTGAAGACGAACTGAGGGTGTTCCATCTCATTACTCATCAAAAAAAAAATGCACATTAAAATCACAAAACCCCTGCACCGAATGGCTAAAAGTGTAAACTGAAAATACTAAGTGTCAACACAGACGCCGAGTCCCTTACCCTGCGTAGCCTGCGCGAGGGCCAGCGGGCGCGCCCGCGTCAAAGGCCGTTGGCCGGGGTGTCCTAGGGCCGAGGCCCCTCCCCGGCCCTCGAATCCCGCCCCCGATGCCTGCCTGCCAGCAGCGCCGTGCGCGCCATCCGAATCGCACGCACGGACACCTGTGACTGTTCTGGCTGTAGTGACCGAAAGGTTAGAAACCGTTATTTGTCCATCAGCAGCAGGAAGAATAAATAAATCTTTGTGCAGTCATCTGGGAGTAATATAGCCATTTCTGGTGCAGGGAAGAGACTCGCAGGGAGTAAAGTCGAGGTGGGGAGTGGGCGAGGGCCGATGTCACCTGGCCAGGCGTGGGTGGAGGCCCTGCCCGGGGCGAGGCAGCGGATAGCAACGCACGGCGGGTTCCATAACCAGTGCGGGGGCTGGGGATGCAGTGAGGGGCTGACGTGGGATGGGGAGAAGGGGGCTCCCGGGCGTCTGATTTCGGCGGCTGCGTGGGTACAGGGGAGGAGATGGCCCAGTCTCATGAACGACTGTCAGGGGGCCCCAGGGAGGCGTGGGCTGGCATTTGGGGGGTGTGCTGGGCACCCGGGGGGGGGCGCGTTTATGCACCAGCCCTGTCCCCCAGCCCGATTCCTCCCTTTTGTGCCTCTGGATCGAGGCTTGATTTTGTTCCCTGGGTCCTGTCTTCTGGCACAGCTAAGACAGGCCTCAGGAGCCGCCTAAGTGTCATTTTATTTTAGAAAACAGCTGGTCCATCTTGTGATCGGAGTTGAGTGATACGGTTAGTGCGGAGCGTCTGCCTCCGGAGGTGAGTAGGATTTATGCAAACACGGTTGGCAAGAGGTTGGCTTGAATGATTATTTGTTGGTATTAGGGACCCAGGATGTCTGCCTGTCACCATGGCAACCTTGTCCTCAGTTCATTCTACCAATGAGATGCTCAAGGAAGATAGCACAGTGGCCCCTGTAGAAGCACTGACATTCAACTGGTCTTGACCCACAAAAGATGGCAATTTCATGGAATTCAGCCTGATCCGTGCGCGGGAACGGAGCATTACTGCATAATGAACAGACCACGGCCGGATTCTCTGGGGAAAAGCAGACGCAGGGCGCCACCCCGGCCGGGTGCGGAAGCCAGGCTCCTTCTCCGCCTCAGGCTCGGGGCCCCAGCCCTCCCTGTCTGGCCACCTGAGGCAGACACGCTCGGAAAAAGAGGAAGCTGGTCAGGTGACCGGCTGCTTAGCACACATTAGACACAACTCTAATACGGGGACCTACGGGTGGCGTTTGGTGAAAAAGAGGAGAGGAACTTATGAAGAGGATCGAAGGGGGACTGAGCGTCCTTCCTGCAGAATCGCCCAGGCACGGACGGCCGGAGTCGGGGAGGGCCATCGTGGGGACCAGCGCCGTGTTCACAGCACGGAGGCCAAAGGAGACGTGATCCAGGATGAGGCTTCCCGATTGGCCAGGATGTGTCAGCAAACACAGTAGATAATATTTGTAATGACTGCGTCTGGTGGCCGATGGGCCCTAGACTTCCCGGGGCGTCACTCTGAAAGGTACACAAAACATCTAGTCACTCTGCTGTCCACTGGGAACTAATGCGATATTGTATGTCAACTGTGGTTGAGAATAAACTTAAAATAGTGATGATCGAAAGACTGCGCGCGCGCACACTCACACACACACACACACACAGAAATGCCACCTGTGACCAGCGCGACCTGTCTGCGGCTGCCTGTCTGCTGCAGGCGCGGGTGCCCAGGTGGGACTCAACGTTCCGGACGCTCGCTGGGAGGAGCACCGCCAGGCCCGAGGTGGGGCCCAGAGGTGGCACAGGCGGGCAGGGCCGTCAGCTGTTTTGTAGATTGCGCGCCCGTGGGTGGGGCGCCAGAGGCCTGGGCGCCCTGGAGCAAACGTGGCAATGGACCCATGGGTCAGCGAGGCCCCTGCAGCAGGGAACGGGACAGCCTGTGCCATCTACTGTGACAGAGCCACACCGCTTCTTACTGCATATGAGTTACTGCCTGAGGAAGGGAAGGCGCCGGGCAGAGGCCGGTTGGTGCTGCCCGAGGCCGAACGGGCCTGAGTGCATTCGCGCTTTGTCAAAACTTGTTCCTTGGACGCAGACTTGAGGTGCTGTGTGAACTCCCTGCCACGTGCCCACGGCCAGCGCACGGTGTAGCTGCTGAGGAGCCTTGTGGCTGGGCAGGCCGGCCTCCGTCGGGTCCCCGCTGACCTCAGGGAGACCCTTCAGGAAGAGGACGGGACACACGGCGCGTCGTGTAGGTGGAAGGCATTTCGGAAAGTTCCCGGTCCTTGAGCAAGCACGCGGGGCTGGGTCTGAGCTCGGAGAGCCTCACGGCCCGCGAGGTCATTGTGGAAATTGCCGCCGGGATCCCCGCAGGGCAGGGGGGTGCCCCAGAGCGCTAATTTAATTATCAGCTGAACAAGAGCTTGATGGGTGTATTAGTTTTATCAGCGAGCGCACACACGCACACACATATATTCCTCCTAAGTGGTCATAAACAGCGAATAAACCAATAGGCCGACACGTGGCCGCTCAGCCCTGGAACTGCGATCAGATATCGGAAATTGCTGCTGCGTTCGGAATGAGCGATGGGAGGCCGGGATCTGCGCGGCCCTGAGCCTTCACCATGGAGACGCCGCCATCGTCCTGCACGTGAGCAGGATATTTATGAGTGTGGCTGGCCGTTAACAGCCTGGCCTTGCAGCAATTAATATTTGTACATGTGATGCCCGGCGCTGCCCGGCGCTGACCGTGGACAGCAGCGGCCGCTAATTGTTTCGCCACCCTGCCTTCCTGTGCTTTCCTGCCGCGGGTGGAGTGGAGGGTTTCCTGGAGGACCTTAGAATGGGCTTTTCATGCGTTGGTGACTTAATTGCCTTTTGATTATGATGCAAATCTCCCTTCATTTCATCAGCCAAGGAGGAGGGCCGAGGGTCAGAAGCGACTGGTGAAAGCAGAGCCAGAGACTGAGGAAGGAGGAGGCTGCTCCGCGGTCTGTTGGCCCGAGGCGCGCGGGAGACGCAGGCAGGTCCAGGTCAGAGTGAGGAGGGATTCGCCGCGGGCAGCAACTCAGGGGGGGCCTGGAGGAGATGCCGGGGAGCCCGGGGCCAGACAGAGCAGACGGCACCCGCCTTGTGGACAAATAAGCTTTCACTCACGTTAATTCATCGAGTCCAGTGGGGGTGGCATCCAGGAGGGGAAACTGAGGCTCAGAGAAGGAGAGAGAGGAGTAGCCAGGGTGGTACGCTGGGCTTTGTCTGTGTGTGCTGGGCGGCGGGGGGGCGGGGCTTGAGAACTTTCTACACCCCCTGCTGCTGCCACCCCTCCAGAGGGGCCGCTCCTGAGAAGGGGCCCCTGGCCCCCGTCAGAGTGGGAACGTGGGGGGTGCCGGTGCCCTGTGTTACCCTGGGGCCTCGCCACGGCTTCCGCTCAGCCTCTTCAGGATGTGGGGCAGGAAGGAGGCTGGGGGGGTGGGAGGGGCCCTCTCCCGTGTCGCCCCTCCCACACCAGCCTTCTCATTTGTCTGCGAGCTCACCCGTGTGCACCCCCCACCCCCGCCACTTAGATGTCCTGGGCTTCTAACGCACGCGGGCGAGGCCCCGTCGTCCCTGCGAGCCCTGTTCCCGGGGGGCTCTGCCGCAGGGAGCGCCAACGGAGCCCCAAGTCCCGCCAGCAGCCACCCCCTCCCGGCTTCCCCCAAACAGGAAACGGCAAGGCACCACACGCACCGCTCACCTCCCCCCTGCCCGCCACGCCCATAAATCAATTAACTCCTCC